TATAATATAATATAATATAATATAATATAATATAATATAATATAATATAATATAATATAATATAATATAATGCTACTATATAATATAATACTATATAATATAGAATGCTATTATCTCTTTGTCTGTACTCCTTTTAATCATTTCCATATGACCTTTATTATGTTATCAAGTTGTATAAAGTCTCCCTTTGGCAACTTTATTGGTATAGCATTAAAAATGCACATTAAATTTAATAGTATTATAATTTTTATTATATTGGCACAATCTAGCCACAAGCAATGAATATTCCTCCAACTTTTTCCACTGGCTTCCAGGTACACTGGTATCACACCTTAGAGTTTATGACCTCGAAAAAAATTTCTTTGCATCTGTGGAATTTACTGCTAATAGCCAACTCTACAGGCACTCCTGACTGAGAGTCCATCACTGCATTGATTTTCTAGTGATAACAAAATAGCTCAAGATATTCACCTTGCTTCTTGGGGTCAAGACTATTCCAGAGTCAACCTACCTTTTGGTGCATCTGCAATAATCAATACAAACTTACAGAGGTGATCTCCATACTATCAAAGACCTTTTCTCCTCCCAACACCATGTAACAAATAAAAAATGAGTTGTGCCCCATTACAATCTCATTCTGGTCTTAATCCACAATCTCATTCTAGTGTTAATCTTCATAGTCATTGTTATTTTAGTCTTTTTCCTAGTCCTACAGATCTCCAAATGTATAACCAGAGTGCTCTGCTATCTCAGGGCGGCAATACCATCTAGCTCTTCCCTTAACCCTCATTAGGTGGTGCTGGTTGTAAATTTGATTTAGTGAAGCTTTTAAAACTTCAAGGAGGAGGCGGGGAGTTGGTTGGTGGTTGTCCTTCCTTCTCCTTGAAGAGGACCAAAATGACATCACTAGGTTGGAGTCAAGTTACAGTGTGTCCAACTGTGGCTGACGAGGAGGGTTGTATGGAGATGAAGAAAGAAGGGCCTTTATTTCCCTTTACTGACCAGAATAAACTAAGGATTAGCCTGTAGTTTAGGCACTAGTACATGCATTTCCTTAAATCTGAGATTACCTCGCCCCACTGCTTGTTCCTACTTTCTCAGAAGATGAAGTATAGATAAACAACAAATCTTTTTCTGTTCCTTTACCTAAGTCCAAAATACAGAAAAACAGTTTGCCCTCTTTTGCTGTCAAGGCCAACAATTTGTTGTGTTCTACTTGCAAGGCCAGTCATAGACAGAAAACAAGTTGCCCTGCTCCATTTGGAAGGTTTATTAGAGACAAAACCAAGTTGTGTGTTTTTTTCCTCCCAGGATAA